ATATATATATTCAGTTGAAGTCAGAATTATTAGCCTCCCTTTGAAGTTTTTTTCTTTTTTAATATTTCCCCAGTAATGTTTACCAGAGCAAGGAAATTTTTTAATGCATGTCTGATAATATTTTTTCTTCTGGAGAAAGTCTTAATTGTTTTTTTTTTCCGGCTAGAATATAATAAGTTATGAATTTTTTTTTTTTTTGTAATTCAGTTTTTTATTTCCGAAAGTGAGAATATACAATTTTTAAAATCAGATAACAAAATACTTTTAACAGATATAACCCCATATATATTCCCCACCCCCCCACCCCATTATACGCACATCAGGAAACACAGAATAACTATAGTTTAGACCAAGCCGTTAGATCATTTCCATTAAGTTGTCATCCGTAGCATCAGATGAGGGTTAAGTGTCCAAGATTTCTTTGACGTTGCATATGTAGATTTTCCATGCCGTAGTTATGAATTTTTTTAACACATTTTTAAAGGTAAAAATTATTAAGCTAATTTATTCCATAGTCTACAGAACAAACTATCCTTATACAATAACTTGCCTAATTACCCTAACCTGCCTAGTTAACCTCATTAATCTAGTTAAGCCTTTAAATGTCACTTTAAGCTGTATAGAAGTGTTTTGAAAAATATCTAGTAAAATAATATGTACTATTATTAAAACTATTATGTTTAGAAATGAGTTGAAAAAAATTGCAGATTATTTAAATTTGCAGAAAATTAAACAGAAATTGAGGGGAAAAAAATAAACAAGGGGTCTAATAATTCAGGGGGGCTAATAATTCTGACTTCAACTGTATATATTAATAGGAAGCTATACAATATTCTGTTTGTGCATATACATTAGATTAGTCAGTACTGAAGCCAAATCTGGAGCTTATCTAACAAATAAAACTTACGGTCCAAAAACGAGTACACCCAAATGTATGTTATAGAAAACATTTAATACAAATTGTTTTTAAAAAAAAAAGAAAAATTAAGAGAAGCAAAAAAAAAAAAAAAAGAAACATTTTTTTTTGCAATAGTTTTGCAATATTTAGCTTGAATTACATTTTTTTTTTCAAATTTCTAAATGTTTGATGACTAAAATAATATTTCAATAAATATATATTTTTAATTAATCTGTTAATTTGTTGAAATGCAAAAAATACATTGCTTATATTCACAGAGAATTGAACAAATATTCAAATATTCATTTTCAAAATAGGCTGTACTCAATTATGCTAAGCACTAATAATAAAAAACACACACACACACACACACACATATATATATATATATACAGTTGAAGCCAGAATTAGTAGCCCTCCTGAATTATTACCACCCCTGTTTATTTTTTCCCCCAATATCTGTTTAACAGAGATAATTTTTTTTCAACATATTTCTAAACATAATAGTTTTACTAACTCATTTCTAATAACTGATTTACTTTATCTTTGCCATGATGACACTTCTATACAGCTTAAAGGCCTGGTCAGGGTAATTAGGGAAGTTACTGTTTAATGATGGTTTGTTCTGTAGACTATCGAAAACAAAAAAAATGCTAAAAGGGGCAAATAATTTTGAACTTAAAATGGTTTTTAAAAAATTAAAAGCTGCGTTTATTCTTGCCGAAATAAGGCAAATAAGACTTTCTCCAGAAGATAAAAATATTATCAGACTCCCTTGCTCTGTTAAACGTAATTTGGAAAATATTTTAAAAAAGTAAAAAACAAAATTCAAAGGGGGGCTAATAATTCTGACTTCAACTGTGTCAATTGTGTTTAATTAGTAAACATTTAAAGGGTTTATATAATTTGTATATAGTTATTATTATAATAAATAGTGCAATAAATAACAAAAGTTTTATTAGAAGTTTTATTTAAACAAATCAAAGTAAAATGATCCTCATTGTTAACTAGTGTTGAATTCCAAGTGTTTATTTTTATGACATTTATTAAACCTATCTTTTGTGACTAAATGTTTGTTAATTGTAGTCTAGATTTAGTTAATGAAATCTTCATGTTTTGTCCATATCTCTGGCATTTTCATGCAAGCATAAATCAAGAGGATGTTAATTTCTCCCATATCGACTTTCTTGATTTATTATATTGTCATACATTAATGCAGTCTACACTGCTGCTTCTCTGAAATTACACAACAGTGACTTCTTTATACTAATTGTAAACTTTCGTTTAAGCAGAATATCAAAGTGAAGTTCAAAAGTTCAATTTTTATATTTGCTGATGTTTTCAGATCATGAGTGCTGTTTCCTAGCACAGAAACAGAATGTACTGCCAGGTCGTGAAGATAAACTAAAACACAGCATAGTAAAAGTGATAAGGAGAATATAACTTGACATCAGGGAACTCCCAAACATTAAGGTAAATGCTGATAGAGGATTGTCCATAATATTTTAGCTGAATTTTTTTTCCAATTTTAATACTTTAATCTTGTATTGTTTTGCATGTTAAACCTTTAACCTTTAATTAAAATATTTCTTGACATCACACTTTTATGTTTCAATGATGATTCATTCATAGGGTCAACTCAACTATACAGTTACAATGTATGTTAAATGGCTAGTGTCACCACACCTTCATCTCACCTTGTCCTTAGAACATGTCCTTAAATTAAATTAGAAAGTAAGCACAAAAATGAGTAAATAAAATACAGGAATACTGTATAAAGCTGCAAAGCAATGTGTGGAAAAGGTCTTTGTGCATAAAAACTGAAGTGTATCACAAACAACTATTGATGGCATGTTCCCACTCACTTGACTTTGCTCAGCATTGCTAACTGACGCCTCCTTTTGGATCTTATGTGCCACTGCAGCTCTCTGTGTTCTGGTCCGTGCATGGAGCACAATAGTCTTCAAGAAGACGTAATAGTTCACTGAAATCTGGCCTTTCCTCAGCCGAATATCTCCAACACATCAGCATTATGTCATAGATGTGGGATGGGCAATTGGGGGGCGCCGGCATTCTGTACCCCGACGTGATCATGTTGTACACCTCGATATTTGAGAAGGCTGCAAAAATATAGAGGGAGAAAAGATGTCTCCTAACCCCATTCAGATATGCCTGAACAAGAGGAGCACTTCTACACAACCATATTTCAAATAAAGAGTGCAGATCTGGTGAAACATGGCAATTTTGTTGATAGTTTTGTTTTATCTATTAGTTTATCTGATTTATTCAATTTTCAAGTGTGCAAACCTGGATATGGGACTCCACCATAGGTGAACATTTCATATAGCAGGACTCCGAATGACCAGACGTCAGATTTGTTGGAGAACCTTCCATGGCTGATGGCTTCAGGAGCAGACCACTTATACGGTATTTGTGCATCTTCTGAAGAGTAAACTGACTCCTTGAAAACAAATCATTTGAAGTGTGAAACTTTGCTAGAGTAAGGAACTGAGAAAAAATACTTTAAAGAAAATTTGACTTTAGTTGTCTAGCCAAATTAAAGAGTCAAAATCATTTAAATGATGTTATTGTCTCACTTTCATGTCCTTCCAATCTCCCGAGACCTTCATTGATCTTTGAAAAAAAAATGAAGTTTCACAAACTAATTTCGAGAGGAGCAGGTGATATGATTGACTGCAGCTGGCCACTCATCTACACTCATTAGCTAGCCAATCGGATCGATCCAAACTCACTATAAATAACGTAACTAAGAACTACTCCCTTATCTTTGTTTTCCGAAGAAACCCCCCATCCACCCCTTCTCCTCCTTTCCTCTTTTGCCGAGAGGAGCTCTCGAGAACACCTGACCTCGTACTCCCCTCACATGCTTTATGGACCTGGCTGGAGCCCTGGGCTCAACTATCTCCGAGCTCAGGGTTCTCTCCCGGGACAGCATGTCAAACCTGCTAACTTGCTAACAAGTTGTCAAACAGTATCTAAGTATCTAAGTGAACTCTTGAAATTAGGATATTTTAGATTAAATCTATAAGCTCTCTCATCCCCCATAGACATCAAGTCTTGAACAAGAAACCAAGAAAATTGTCAAAACAATCCATGTGACTTGATGTAGTTGAACAGTACTCATATGAAGCGCCAAGAACGGTTTTGTGCACCAAAACCCCCAACATTCACATTAGATCACAGTGCATTTACCATAGGTAATATGGCACTTGCATTTTGCAATTCAGGCTCTAATGTCAATACGTCACACTGCCTGACCCGTAGTAAACACATCCTGACTTTGACGTGAGAAAGAAGACATACATAAGCAGAGTCATATTTAAAGAAGAAGTTTTGCATGATAACAACTGATGTAACATGAAATGTTTTGACATGTTTTTGGTTACTTTGAATGTCTCTGGAAGGGAATTTTGCTGTCATGGAGGATGAGGGAGCCCTCAAATTTCATCCAAAATATCCTAATTAGAAGACAAACGAAAGGTTTGGGACGACATGAGAGTGACTAATTAATAACAGAACTTTCATTTTTGGGTGAACTAATCCTTTAACTACAGACACAACACTGGAAAAACAACATTCATTTTGTCTTATTCAAATTTGTCTAACAAACATTTTAAAACATCAAATGTAATATAGTCATATAATAATATTAGGTATATTAACTAACATTTAATAATAATTATAATAATTAGCTAGAAGGTGATCCTCACTTTGACGATTCGAGCTAGACCTAAGTCAGCCACTTTACAGATGTAGTTGGCTCCCACTAGAACATTGCGAGCCGCCAGGTCTCTGTGGATGCTGTTCTGCTCCTCAAGGTACGCCATCCCATCAGCTACCTGGGATGCCATTTCTGTCAGCATCTGTGCATTCAGGTCCTGGCCCTCCTTACCTGTGGAGAAAAAAAAATGAAGCAATCCATGACTGTCAGCGGTAGAGTTTTTGATAACTGTAATGATATCCATATTAGTGTCCACACCAGCAGAAGATAACCTGCTTTTCTAAGAATATGTTGAAGTTTTGTCATTTTCAGCCCTAAATGACTGGACTTTTTTTTTTTTTTTGGTTTAACAGTAGAATGGATTCTGATTGGCTGTAAAAATTTGTATTGTTCATTAGTTGGAAAAATTCTTTCTGAAAGTTACACAAACTACTGATAAACAAAGAGGTGCCATCTTTTCAGACATGTTTAGATATTAAGTTTAAATAGAAGTCTATATATTGTGTATATTATGTTTACATATAAATATATCAATAAAAATGTGATGGGTTTGGCTTTATCATTTTGAATTCTACTTCAACATTTGTTAATAAGCAATATTCTAAGCAAATATACAGTATATACAGTAGGGGAAGTTAATGTTAAACCTGCCATGCTTTATTTCTGGGAATAACATTTCTAAAGGAGCTGTTTATATGGAATTGAAGCAGATCATTTTGTAAAAACTCAAACAATACAAACATTAAAAAAATAATAATAATTTAATCTGAATAATGAGTTATTTGTAATAACAATGGAATGACACAAGAAGAAAGTACTGGACAACAGAAACATATTTATTACTTTATATAAAGGCTTTTTTGGTAATGTCAGCTTAAATACGCCTCATATGATGAATGAAGTCACATGCATTGCTTAGGTGTGAGAGATTTCAGCTGCTGTCTGGGCTTTCACTCCCTTTCTACTTCTCCATTTCTTCATGTGTTCAATACTTTATCCCTGTGTCATTTCACATTACACATAACCTAATTTGTAGTATGATAGCTAATTAGTTTTGTTTTCTTTGCACATATGGATTTCTTTAGTTGTTACCAACATCTGGGGAAAATTTCAAGTCAACAACACTATTAGAAATATGTTTTCTGATAAAAATGGCGACATGGTCAATACTTATTTCACCCAGTGTATATATATTAATCTGGACTATTTATCCTTTAGGTTTTTATAAAATATAATCTCAAATTCCAAAAATAATTGCATTTATTACAGAGGTTTTGAATTAATCTTCCAATTTAGAAAAAATAATTCGAACACATATATATATATTTATATTTATATTTAACCCCAGCACCACCTGTCTAAATCTTGTTTTCTTTTTTATTTATCTTGTAGCTGCACATTTAAGCATCATATACTCTTGTATTTTGCAGGACAAGCTTGAACAGAATTATTTTACAAAAGCAGTAGCACAGATGATCAGAATCAAACCTATTTACATTCATATTGCTTATTAAAGGGCCATGACACCCCCCACTTTCGGTTTAAGTCTACTTCAGAATTTTTTCAAAAGATGCATGATTAATGGGCGTTGAGCTCCGCGAGCATTGGGCAGGAGTGGGCGTGGCCAGCAGGGGAGAAGGGGAGCGAACAACTGTTGATGTCAGTTAGCTCACAAAATGAGAAACCGTGAGGAGACGCATGAGTTTAAAGTTTACAAAGTTAAAATGCAAAGAAATAAACAGTAAATTTAATACCCTGCTACAATTGGTATTCGTAATTTTATATACAGACAACCACAATTTATATGATTATAAAGATAATCGTGTTCATATAAACACTATAAATGAGGACTTCTCCCTCAATCCCCGGGTCTGAATCATAGATCTAAATGCAGACTCAGTGCAGCAGGTCTCCTGACCTGTCTATTTTAACCATTAGTCCTGCTGGTAATCGGAGGATTTAGGCAAACACAGCAGCACGGCGATGTGTCTGAATGTGTATGAACTCCTGATACAAGACAGCATCCGCCATTCTCCAATTCTCGTGCTGCTCTCCAGACAAAAATGCTTGCATCACACACAGCTTTGCTGTATGATCGGCCCTGACAGGATCTCTGGAAAAAACATGCAACAAACCCCGTGGATCATGGAAACAAACACATACGAGCCTTCATAAACGGCTACTGCGTGCCGTAGGTCCGTGTCTCACAGTTTGAGCTTTGCACGTACTGTCGTGCTCTCATGAATAATTAAGCAGCCGGCTCTTCTCATAGGATAAGGAAACTCCGCTTTGAATAATAATGAGAAACCGACCCGTCATCATTGCACTTTTGATCCCTCCCCAAAAATCATTTTAAACTCGGAAGCTGAAATTAGCTGACAAAAGCTCAAAATTATCCAGTTTTCCCTACAATTAAAGCTGACAGATGCTAACATTGTCTTAACTGATGCTCAACACACACAAATCTGTTAAAAAAGAAAGAAAAAAGTTCTCCAGGGTGTCCTGAACCTTTAATAAAATTTAACAGTTACAGTATTCTTGACTGAAATATAATTACAATTATGATTACTGTTTTTGGACTCAGAAGGATTTTTGTGACCTTGAAATTAAAAGGTAAGACTACTAATTAAAAATATTAGTTATCCACAAATTTTAATTCTGTGAAGATGTATTTACATTAGGTGATCTTAGCTGTGTACATTGTGGAACTTTCATTCAGAAAACTTCATCTTTGTATTTTTTTATGCCTAATGAGGAACACTAAGATCGAATAATTGCAAAGTGGTATGTTCTTTAAAATGTTTCTGGTCAAAACAATTGAAATTTAAATGAAAGAGATTGTTACCTTTGAGCAAACTGAGCAGGTCGCCTTTTTCCATAAGTTCAGTGATGATGTAGAAGGGGCTTGAGCTTGTGCAGACAGCGAAGAGTGCGATGAGGTGTTTGTGCCTGAGCTTTTTTAATATTTGTGTCTCCAACATGAACTCCCTGTGGTTGATAGAGTCTAGAAGATAAGGAGAAACACTGTTAGGCACATCAGAACAAGAGTATATGAGTGATATAGTTTATAATATCACGTCTGTCAAATTCTGGAATTCATTCCATCAGGTGCTTGTTTGGCTTGTGGGCTCACAAACAGAGTTTTTTCAAGAGTGTTGTCTCTATTTGTTGAGTGAGAGCGGCAGCGTGTGTCATAGAACAAGAAAGACAACATTTCTCACATTCACACACTATCTAGGACAGAAGACAAGTAGGTAAAAAGGAAGCATTTTGGAAAAGAGAGAAATGCTAAATGAGGAAATGTGCCTTGTGGATCTGAAGTAAGATTATTAATTGTGTGCAACAAACATACCATTTTTGAGGATCTTAATGGCCACGTTGACCATGCCTTTCCATTTTCCACGATAAACATCAGCAAAGAATCCTTTACCAAGCTCCTCTTCGAGTGTGAACTCTTCCTTAGGTAATTCCCAGTCATTTACTGTGCTGTGTGAAAGATCCTTTGGCTTTGGTTCTGGCTGATGGCACAAAAATAATTTAAAATAAAAATATTATAAATAAAGGTTCATTGGGAATTGGTGGTTCAATAATGAACCCTTAACAGCTTTTACAATGATTTTAAAAAAAGCTTCTTTGATTATTCAAATATTCTTCAAATTAGTAAAGTTTTTTTAGAATGAAAAATACTTTTTTTTTTATCTTTAAGAGAGTATTTCCCAGACAAGACATTAAATTACAAACCATAAATGAAAAGCTCAAGTCATGCAAGAACCAAAAAATAAATTAATAAAATAGACAAATACTTTATAAATATTGCAGAAAAAAAACATTCCAGCCACAATAAAAAACACGTCACCCATTTTAAGAGTTCACCCTTACCTAATGATTGATAATAAAGTGTATTTGGCATGCTGTGCCGGGAGAGAGCCCTGAGCTCAAAAGATCCTCGAGCCTGTGGCTCCCTCCTGATAGAAGGGTGAGAGGGGTGTTTGAGCCCAGGTAGATCTCGAGAACTCCCCCGTTTATAAATGGCAAATTATGAATTGCTTTGGAAATATACTGCTGACTCGCCTATAGTGCCAATTTGGTTCATTTAATTTACCTATGTTGCATGTCTTTGGACTGTGGGAGGAAACCAGAGGAGCCCGGGGGAAACCCACGCAAGCACTGGGATGTAAAAACATTTAAACTCCACACAGAAACGTCAGCTGGCCTGAAAAAGACTTGAACCAGTGGCATTATTGCTGTGAGGAAACAATGCTGCTAACCACTGGCCTGCTGTGTCGCCTTGTCAAGAAAGGGAGGAGGAGTAGTGGTGAAAGAGGGGATTCTTCAAAATGAAGATACTGAGATAAGAATTTCTGGTTATTTGTGATGAGTTAGAAATTGACTGATTGATGAATTGTGTATTAGCTAATGCAGCCTCAATCATAAGCATGCGCTGTTCTCGGAATTAGTTTATAAATACACCACACTTATACAAAAGATTAGTAACTAATCATGAACAAAATACAGACGATGTTAAAGAAAAAATGCTAAAGAACTAAAACTAAATCCTGTAATTGAGAATGAGGTCTGGATTGAGTTGTGAAGGATGTCATAAAAGAATTAATAGTCAACTATGAACAGAATATGATTTGAAAGTAAAAATGAGATACCTTAATACTCCTTTTGTAATTTCTACATACAGTATGTAAAAGCACAATCTGTTGCTTTGGGTCAAATAAAATGTTGTAAAATTGGAGATCATACCCACATTTCTTAGGACTGCCCTAAGATTAAAGAATTTGATTTGTACTAAGGATATTATTACTGGTTGCAAAAAAATGATAACAGTACATTGGATGGAAGAAGGTCCTCAAAAGATTGGATTAGTAGATTCAGAGACTTAAATAGGTCTATGTAATGGAAAAAATGACTGCATGTCAACAAATGAGGACCTTTTTTATATTTCTAAAGAGGTGAACAAGTATTACATTTTTAGATATGCACATTTAGAGGTTAATTAACCTATCACCAATTCAATCTGAGGTAACTACAATGTAACACAATGTAACTTGATGTACAAATGTATCCCCTGAAAAGTATTTATGATGGTAGTACTTTTTTATTTTGTATTATTTTTCTTATTGATTGTGTTATGAATGACTTATATGCACAAACATTTTGTTCAGCCATTGAATTCTCCCGGTGAAAGATTGATGTGACTATTTTCAGTTTCATAAGGTCCTTTTACAGCATCGATAATGTAGATTTATATTTAGTTTGACAAAGAAAAACAGCAGTAAATAGCGCTATTCTGCTTAAAAAGCGCCTAATCTACTTTATTGAGCTGAAGTTGCTTTTTATATTCACATTGGGTCATTTTTGAACAATGACAGCCTTCCTATACTGTTTACCATGCTACTCTGAATATTCATTCATTCATTTTCTTGTTGCCTTAGACCCTTTATTAATCTGGGGTCACCACAGCGGAATGAACCTCCAACTTATCCAGCAGGATTTTATGCAGCGGATGCCCTTCCGGCTGCAACCAGTCTCTGGGAAACATATAATTCACCTGTACCACATGTCTTTGGACTGTGGGGGAAACCGGAGCACCCGGAGGAAACCCACGCGAATGCAGGGAGAACATGCAAACTACACACAAAAAAGCCAACTGAGCCAAGGATTGAACCAGCGACCTTCTTGCTGTGAGGCGAACGTGCTACCCACTGTGCCACTGCGTCGCCACTACTCTGAATATTCGCTCTGAAATAGCATGTAAGATTGGCTTAGTAATAAATATAATTCCTTCACGTCGCCGGCCAAACTGCCGACCTACTGCAGCTTTAAAGAACCATTTAAACCAGTTTTGTAAAGCAGTTCAATTGATTAGATGAAAATGTCATAATCAAAAGAGGAATACATTTATGAACCAAATGCAGCTGTTTTTATTGTGAACATAGCAAGGACATCAAGTCTTTCATTAAATAAATCAAATATCCTCACAAGCATTCATTAATTCATTTTCTTTTCGGCTTAGTCCCTTTTTTATTTCAGGGTTGCCACAGCGGTATGAACCGCCAACTTATCCAGCACGTTTTTACGCAGTGGATGCCGTTCCAGCTTCAAACCATCTCTGGGAAACATCCACACACACTTATTCACACTCATACACTACGGACAATTTAGCTTACCTAATTTACCTGTACTGCATGTCTTTGGACTGTGAGGGAAACCACAGCACCCCGAAGACAACCCACGCGAACAAAGGGAGAACATGCAAACTCCACGCAGAAACGCCAACTGACCCAGCCAAGGCCTAAACCAGCGACCTTTTTGCTGTGAAGTGACAGCACTACCTACTGCGCCCCTGCGTCGCCAATCCTCACAAGCAATTATTTTAATACTATTATAATAAAATTATGACCTCAGAAGTCTTTATTATGAATGCCTATTTCAGCCACTAAATGAATATAAATAAATTTTTTTTCGTAATTGAAACTTTTTTTCTTGCAATTGCCAGTTTATATTTCACAATTCTTACTTTTCTTTTCAGAAATGTGTAATACAAACATGTATTTTCTAGTTATTAGGACAGTATTGCAAGACATATCATCAGAACTGGCAGAAATAAACTCAATTCTGACTTCATTCTTCAGAATTAAGATAAAAAAAAAAATCGAATTCTGCCAGCAGCTAGCTCTCTGCAACTACAGTATCACATTGTCACCCACTGAAGCTAAGCAGGGCTGCCCCCGGTCAGTACCTGAATGAGAGACTATATAAGAAAGCTAGGTTGCTGCTGGATTTGGTGTAAGTGACACCAGCAGGGGGCACTTAACCTGCAGTCTGTGTGGGTCCTAACACCCCAGTATATTAATGGGGACTCTATACTGCTCAGTGAGCACAGTCTTTCAGATGAGACGTTAAACCAAGGTCCTGACTATATGTGATCGTTAAAAATCCCAGGATATCCTTTATAAAAGGTTAGGGATTTAACCAAAGCATGCTGGCCAAATTTACCCAGTGGTCTCTGTCCAACATGATCTCCTAACCATCCCCATATCGTAATTTGCTTCATCGCTTGGTCTCCTCCCCACCAATCCGCTGGTGTGCGGTCTGCTGCAATATGCTTCTTGTACAATCTGAGACTCACTTTATTTGGGATATCACTCAGGCAGTGGAGATTGCTGTTTTTTTTTGAGAAAACAGACATTAAACGTGTTCATTTTGTAATGACACAGTTCACCGTAAGCTCTTGACCCAGGTTACTGACAAATAAAAAGTCCTTCCGCATAATTCCGCATATACTCTTAAAAAAAAGTTTGAATTGTGAGTTTTAAATCACAACATTCTGAGAAAAATGTTGGGAGATGTAAACTCTCAACTGTGAGGACAGATAGTAAGAATTGTGAGATGATAAATACTTTGCTGTTACATATTTTATTTTTATTCAAGGGCGGTGCCGGTGACAGGCGTCCATACTTTCCAGTGCCAAGTTTTGTGTACCTCATTTTATAATGCTACTGTATGTTTTCATTTTTAGTTTCGATATATTAAAGAATCTGCTAGTATATAATTCAATAAGTCACTTTTTGAGTCATACAAAAGAAAGACATGCAGATTTTAAATGACTTGATAAAATGGAGAAAGTAAAATTTCTGGCATTATTTAATATTTTACTTTTTTCTTTCTTGCTTCTATCACTCACCCGTCTGCAGGGTTGTTTGAGAAAAGAGTCACCGTCCAGGGAATACTTCCAGTAGTAATCCACCAGTTTCTCCAGGCTTTGAAACGTTTGACTCTTATCAAGATAAAAACTTTCATTCTGATTCTGGTGGATCTTAATATGTTTCACTTCCCTGCTTCTGTCACCCGATAACACTGACAAATTGGCACAGAGAGAAAGAGAAAGGATGCAGACAGTAAATAAACACCGTTCTGAAATTCTGTGGTGTCATGAAAATAAATTAGGAGGCGAAAAACAAATAGAACTGCTTGTACATTCAACATATCTGTACATGACCCGTTTGACAACAATTAAATGAATCTGACATTAGAACAACGTGTTTGTGTACGTGTGAAGCACAGGAAGAACACAGGAAGAGTTCAAAATCAAGTTCACTATATGCAGCAAATGCTCTGACATACCTGATAAAACATAACCTATGTTGTCCTTTTCGCTGTGTCGTACCAGAAAAGCTCCAACATCATTCTCTGGAGCCAGAAGCAAAATCTCGGTCTCAAACCGGTTCAGTGTGCCAAAGTACCAGCTAAAAAACAGCAGTTTCAGATGGGTCACACACAAACAGCTTTTGAATGATTTTTTTAGTGCACACCTAAACAAAACTCATTCACATCAAACACACAACTTAAGCACTCCATTGCATTTTACAGCACTATAAGAAGAATAAAGATAGGGAAGGGGAATAAAAATGAGACATTAAATCCCCTGTATTCAGCTGTGAATGCGATCAAACAAATAGTAATATTAAAAAGTGACAGCCAGACTGCTTTTTTAAAAAGTATTTACGAAAACACATATTAGGTACACCTTACTAGAACCGGGCTAGACCCCATTTTGACTTCGGAAATGCCCTAATCCTTCATCAACAAGGTACTAGATATATTCCTCCGAGATTTCGGTCCATATTGACATGATAGCATCACGCAGTTGCTGCAGATTTGTCGGCTGCACATCCATGATCCGAATATCCCATTTCACCACATCCCAAAGGTGCTCTATTGGATTGAGATCAGACCAGGCAGCGTTTTCCAATTTTAGTGTACCTGAGCGAATTGTAGCCTCAGTTTCCTATTCTTAGCTGACAGGAGCGGCAGTCTGTGTGGTCTTCTGCTGCTGTAGCCCATCTGCCTCAAGGTTTGACGTGTTGTGTGTTTAGAAATGCTCTTCTGCATTCTCATCTGATCTCAGGCATCAACAAGGCATTTGTGTCCACAGAACTGCCACTCACTGGATATTTTCTCTTTTTTGGACCATTCTCTGTAAACCCTGGAGATGGCTGTGCGTAAAAATCCCAGTAGATCAGTAGTTTCTGAAATATACAGACCAACCCATCTGGCATCAACAACCATGCCACATTTCTGATGCTCGGTTTGAATTGCAGTGACCACTTCTTGACTATGTCTACATGTCTAAATGCATTGTTGTTGCTGTCATGTGATTGGCTGATTAGAAATTTGCATCACACAAGCAGTTAAACAGGTGTACCTAATAAAGTGGCTGGTGAGTGTATGTTTTATCTTCTAGAGAAAGTCCTGTTTCTTTTAGTTTGGATGAAAGCAGCAGAACAAACCACCCTAGATATTTTTCAGTGTGTTTGTTCTTATGTGTACACATTATGAGTTCTGTGATTTTTTGGATAAACTGAATAAAGTGTCATTTTTAGGTTTGCCTTTAAAAGGACATAATTCACCATAAAACTTGATGTGTATCATCATTTACTGTCCTGTACTCAAATCATATTTGTGTTTCTTCTTCTGTCAAACACGAAATAAGCTTTTTTTAAGATGAATGTGTTGATGGCATCCACTGATTTGCTTTCTTATTAACTGGTATCATTAACCACCATTTTTCAAAATATCTTCTTTTGTGTTTGTTAAACTAGAAAAAAAACTCATGAACGTTTAAAACTTCATGAGGGAGAGGAAATGGTGAGGTAATTTATATTTTCAGGGCTGCATGGTGGCGCAGTGGGTAGCACATTTGCCTCACAGCATGAAGGTCGCTGGTTTGAGCCTTGGCTGGGTCATTTAGTGTTTCTGTTTGGAGTTTGCATGTTCTCCCCCTGTTTGCTTGGGTTTCCTCCGGGTGCTCCAGGTTCACCCACAAGTTCAAAGACGTGCTATAGGTGAATTGGGTAAGCACAATTTTTCAGTGTGTGTGTGTGTGTGTGTGTGTGTGTGTGTGAAAGTTTCCTAGTGGATCCTAGGCCATCCACTGTGTAAATCATATGCTTCATAAGTTGGCAGTTCATTCCATTGTGGTGACCCCAGATTAATAAAGGAACTAAGCTGAAAAGAAATTAAATAAATGAATTTTCATTTTCATTTATCTCTTTTCGGTTCCCTGAAACTTGAAAAGACAATTCCCTCAAAACTGAAAGATTTGCCATTTTCATTCTTCTGTTGAACACAAAAGAAGTTATTTTGGTCATGTTGAAAACCTGTAACCATTGACTTCCATAGTTTTTGTCCTACTGTGTAAGCACAGGTTTCTAATCTTTATCAAATAAATTTTGTGTTCATCAGAAAAGGGAAAGTAAAAGTTTGGAACTACATAAGTGCGAGTAAAAAGCAAATAGGCGTTGCAGAAAAAAACTTCAGGGATGTAAACTGTACTCACGGTTGCTCTTTCACCGTTTGTCTTCTCGCCAGGAAATGATTTGGAACAAAGCCCCTCCCGGTGACCGCTCCATCTCTGCCCAGTTTGAGCGCAGTCCACCACTCGCCCTGGCGCTCGCAGATGCGGAACTGTTCTCCCTCCTGGAAGGAAAGCTCATCCGCCCCGCGAGCTTTGTAGGACCACAGTGCTTTGTAGAGCTCACTCCCGGGCTCACATGCCGAGGCGCGGGATGGATTCGGGACATTCACCGTCTGTTTGGCCGTGTTTGTTGGTTTTTCAGCCTCAGTCTTGTCAGGCGACGTGAACAATCCCTGACAAAACGCCCTCAGCCCGGGACACGAGCAGCACACCTCCTCCTGGGACATTTCATCTGAGTGTGAATCTATGACTTTGGCGGCAGGTTTGGCAGGTCGTGAAGAATGATACTTCACATGTAAATTTCTGAAGGAGAGAGAGAGAGAGAGAGAGAGAGAGAGAGAGAGAGAGAGAGAAAGCGCTGGGTGGAGCACAGACAGGTTGTGCATTTCTGACTGCGCCTGTAAAGCACAAGTAGGCAAGAATGCTGTTTTGGTAACATAGTATAGCGCACGCACGCACGCACGCGCGCGCGCACACACACACACACACACACACACACACACACACACACACACACACACACACACACACACACACACACACACACACACACACACCAAGAGCTGTAAACTGCGTAAAGAGGTCACATGATCAACTGATTAATTTTTATTTATGTGTGAACACGAAGGGCTTGTATCGAAAATTTAAAAAGCAGATTCTCGAAGTTCTTGGGATGTACGTATGTCAAGCCTTTCTTTTTTTAACTTTTATTCATTCTCAGGATATGAATTATTTAATTTTTCTAGGAATATCAACAATTTAATTCTTGATATCAAAAATGAAACTGCTCATATCAACAATATTTTCATTAGTTAAATGTTACCACAGGCTGCCCTTTAATTTTACTGTTGACTTTATTGTTTTTTTTACAAGTTGAAGTTATATTGTTGCCCAACAACTTAATTGCTACTAGTAAAATGTTTAATATTCTTTTATTTTTAAATTTTATTTAAGTTTTTTTTTGCAGATAAACACAATTCACAGCATCAGTAGACATATGTCACTTTTACAGCCTTTCCCGTGTAAATTCCCCAATCGGGATCAAAGAGAAAACACAAATCTCATCATGACAGCGACAGAACAACATATCCCTTATTTTACATCATCCTTATCAAAACTATATGCAAAAAAAGAAAGGGGGGACAATATCAACAGATAAATATCTTTAGGAACAATATATAGAAACAATTCTATAGGAAAAAGGCATAATAGGATGAATGGGAGTAATGTACTCAATACATTTAAACCACAAGTTAACAAATGTATCTTTTTGGTTATGAGCACACTGTATGTAATATTCTCTATAATGAATATATTTTTCAAAACAGCAATCAAATCTTGCATTTGTGGTGTATTAGGTTTATACCAGCATCTAGTAATGGCTTTTTTCTTGAAGCAAGGATGACTTCATACGTTTATTTGTTTTTTCTTTCCAAGACATTTTAAAAGCATAGTCATTTTTTTCATATGAAAAGTGTGAAAGTCACTAGTAATAGCGTTAATTTCTTATATTGTGAATAAGTAATTGTAGTTATCAGAAACTACTCTCCTTTTTGCTGTTATCAGAAAGATTTTTGTAACATATTGTAAATAGTGACATTAGATTCTTGATATCAGGAACTGACCTTCTTACTAGTAACAATATCAATATTTGCAATTCGTTATTGTTTAAGGGGATTTGAATTCGTGATATTAATAATTAAAATGTTTAAAACAGCAATCAGCATTTTTGATATCAGGAATTGTATTACTGCAAGTGATGACATCAAGAATTAACATTGTTATATTGTTGAAATATAATTCTTAATATCAAGAACGCTAATTGTTTATTTGTTGACATCAACAACTCTTATCCTGAGAATGAATACAAGTCAAAAAGGCTTGCCATAGATGAGATCTACATTTTTTTTTATGTAAAGACCTCAAAAATCAAAAGGATGTGGCATTTAAGTGTGGTTATTTGCTCCTGAGGACTTTTCCTTTGGACACAAAGGAAGCTGAGAAAAAGTAAATTTTTTGATTAGAAATTTCAGACAGCACTTAGAAGTGTTTGCATCTGAACTCTTCAAATGCATTATGTTGATGATAATGCTGTAAATTATATACAGTAAAAGGTATAGTTTGGGCATATTAAGTTTTTTTTTTTTTTTTAAAGATTACAAATCAAGTTAAATGTAATTCAATATCTGGTCTTTATGCCACTGGCTTTTTCAAACACACTGTATTTCATGAAGGCCAATTGTAGGAAAAGGAAACAGTGACCATGAAAGAAAAGGCAGGCAGCAGCGTGCTTTCAGTTCACAGATTTTATTCAGACAGCTCTGGAGGAAAGAGCAACTCAGGTTGCAGGTGCTTTCTCTGACCACAGCGATGACATCACACCGAAAACTTTAAAATGTCTTAGAATGAGTCTCTCTGCAAAGTGATATGTAAAAGGCAGGACAACCACCCACCTGTGCTTTTTCTCCTTTTTTTTCTTTTTTCTTTTTTTTTTACATTAAACAAACAGAAATGATTTTTTTTACCTGCCATATTCTCCATCTTTTAGGCGCTTCACATATATATTTATATATATTTATGTTTATCAACACTTTTCTAAAGAATTCAAATATTCAGCCACGTGTACTGGATTCACTTTAAAATCACAATAAATATATAAAAAACAAACGAACGAAACACATACATAGCAAATCCAATATAATTGGGTTGATAGTGGAGAGAGGGAGGACTCGTCAGCCAAGACGTACGGACCTGCTTTAAAAAGTAAAGCAGATCCGAAGGGTTCCTGAGGTTTGCGTGTTCCCCATACACAAGACTAGTGTAAGGGGAATGGCTTTCCGACTCACTGAGAGGCTTCTGACTGAGGTCAAAGAGCGCAGGTCAGTTGGTTTAAGAGTTGGGTGGATCTGCTCCATCCCAAACACGATGCCCCTATCCAATATAAAATGACATGACATCAAAAGTTTTGTCTTTAGAGCAAGCATAAATAACTAAGGGATTTTCAGTAAGGGGGCATTTTACTCCCACATTTGCGGGGAAGAAAATTAGCAGTGCCTTTTGAGCTGATGATAAGTCCCTCCTCTCTCGCGTCCTCGACATCTACCATCAGTAGTGACAACCATACGTCTAAAGGCCCTTACACAGTAGACACTTCGCACTGGACGAGAAAAATCAAAGAAACAAAAGCATAATAACTTACAGTTCACATTCTGTCCTTCATTTAAAAAAAAAAGGATTAAAGCAACAGTTTGTGAGGAAATAAATATACAGGTTTATGCACAAAAGCGTGCAAAGGCCTTTACTGTGGTTTAAGTTCAGCTTGTCCTTCAGTGTTCCCCTCCATTCAGATTCGATTTAAAGTAAAAAGCACGTTGTGGGGTCACGACAGGACTAGAAGTGGGGTTTTACTAGGACAAACAAAACAAAACCAACAACAACCGAAATGAAAGCAACAACAAAAGAAAAGTCTTAAATTCTGTACATGTAAACATCACACACTTTCACTGAGTCAAAAAAACCAGAAAGAAATCATACAAAGCTTCACATTGGTATACAAAGAGAAACTGAGCTTCAGTCTACAGTTTCTAGTTAAGTACAGGAGTAAAAACACAAAAAAATACCATAATAATATTACAAAGCACCACAAAATTAAAATATATCACAGGCAATGGTTGTTACCACATTTGATTGCAGATTTTAGCTGCACGGTTTAAAAAAATAAACGGTTGTAGCTTTTTTTTCTTGCCTCTTCCTTCCTTCTTTCCAGGTGTCTTGTGTTCACTAACCTTAGATGTCCAGAGAGCTCCTAAAACATCTGATATTTAGGAACAAAAGGTACAAAACAAAACAAAATCTATGGCGTAGTACAACATCTGGACTTTTCAATACACCAGCGTTCTCTTGCATCACCATATAATTAGAATAAGCTGTAATACATTTTTCTTCTTTCAATGTAAAGCCTAGTACTGGGCTCAAAGTTTTCTGCATGGAGTAAAGAAAAGAAATAAATATAATACAGAGCAATAAAAACACAACATTATGGCTTGAGAATGATCAGCTGCATTTGATAATTTAGGATCATTTGGGTGGTTTTAAGGCTCCGTCCCATAAACATTTGACCCTCATGTGTTTACATCTTTTCCCTTTGCGGACTGTAAAGTGCTACTATGTCAACCAATTTAATAATTTATAAAGTGATACATTTGAATATAAATTAATTAATGGTCCTGCACATATCCTTTCATCTGTTAGTTAAGGAATCTATTTCAGTGAAGTGAGGTAATAAACTGGCTGTCAGCCACGTATCAAAACTAAGTTGTCACCATTGGACACAACTTAGTTTTTTTCTCTTTTTTTTTTTGTCTTCAAAAGTCATTTGGATGTCTTATTTAGTATTCTGAGACCAATCTGAGATGTGTGTTTTACTGTTGGAATGTTGAGACTCGGAACACTGATTTCCTTCAGACTGTCAGTGTTTTTTGAATAAGAAAATAATGAAAAAGGTTTAGAGGTTGTTCACTCAATAAAAATGCTGTTATTTGACTCACCCTCAAGCTATTCAAGATGTACGTGATTTTTGTTCTTCAGTAGAGCATTAAAGAAGGTTTTAATCTGAAACGGCGATACTTGGTAATGCATAAAATGCAAGTGAACAGCTATGAGGACTTTAAGAAAATGCACGGATGTCTATGAAGTAAACTAGAACCTAAAGTTTGTTGACAAACTTTGAAGTTAACTTGAGAAAGCCAGTGTGACTGTGCTGGGACTCAAAGGCAGTTGGCAGGAAGCGCCTTGGCATCAGTGGGTGGTGAATGTGAAGAGTTGGTAGGGGTAGAGGGGCTGGTTAAGGTGAAGACCTGATTGGGGGGTGAAGGTAACAAGGTGGTGGGTGGTAAGGAGGGGAGGTGGGGGGTGGTGGGTGTGAAGAGGCCAGGTAAGGGGTAAAAAGGTAAAGAGCCAGTAAGGGGAGGTTTGGTTCAATGTCAATGGGATTTGAAGTCCCTATGTTTTAAATGGATGTTTCTTCAACATTGTAGTTAAGTCAATGTACAAATCTTGCACCCCAGGGATACAACTTACACCCCAAGTTTAATATTTAGATATACACAGCTTAGCAGCCTCTTCAATTGTGTAAGATCACATGATTCTAAGAATTTCTCTTTCAAAGTTATTATGCATCAAACTTTGGTCCAGTGTTAAGTCAATGGAATTTTTCCAAGGTTTCTGGGTCAGTTTCGGGAAAACCAAAAGCCAGATCAGTCTGAAAAGATATAGCAACTTGAGTCAGACTACTCTAAAGGTCTGGCTGTAGTTTGGTGGTCATATCATTAAAGGAAGAGAAGAAGTTGGTAAATTTTTGGCTCAGAAAAAGGAGTTTAAGTAGCAAAACAGTTCTCAAGCCAACATAATGATCAGCGGCACTGTTGTGAATGCACTGAAAG